GCATTTAACATAACAGCCAATCACCTATTAATTAATCATTCAATTTCTCAATGATTTTGAAAACCTAAGCGAAGCTAGCAGTATGCCTAGTTAATACTAATAGTTTCGCTGTCTGTGTATCTATCTGACAAGAACGCTCTAGAGAAAACACAAGCAAATTAAAAACATGCATAGTAATTCGAAAAACGAAGTATGACGTCGTCACATTTAGCATAGAGTAGAAAATAATCTCAAGCCGGAGAGTGCACACAGTAATATGACGTCATTGATTCTCGAGTAAACATTGAATAAAAAGGCAATTTTGTCTAATCTAAGTGGTTTGCGTGAAGAGTTTCTTTCATACAATTCTTCGGGTAGGGGCGAAGCCCCACCCCCGTGTAAGAACGTCTGAGCCCCCTCCCCCCCCCCCTCCCCAACTCAAAAGAAATGTCTTCATCGATACTATATAATAAAATTACCGCCTAATTAATGTGTCTAATCTAAAAAGTGGTTTTCTTGCAATTTCTTTAATGCAATTCTTCGGGTAGTGGCTAAGCGCGACACCAGTGTTTCTTTCAGACTTTTTCCTCCCCGGAGAGGGGTGGGGGTACTTGAAATTTTCGGGGGTGGGGGTAGAATTTTCGGGGAGGGGGCGGACACTGGAAAAAGTATATAATTATATTTCGTTGAATGGGACGGTAGACATGTTTTTTTGGGGGGTGGGGGGGGGGTGGTTTTAGTTTAGAGAAAAGAGACAGCACTATCAGCCTAGCGCCCGTTGTATCCTTCCTTAACGGGTCATTTTTCTCGTTCTTATATAACTTGGAATATAGACATGATTTTTAATTACTTAAACTTTTAAAAATAGAATAGAATCTCATAGAAAAATTAATTCCGCGCCAAGCGAACGCCAAAACAAAATGTGCATAATAGTGCGCAATATTATTATTACTTTTTAAATTTACATGCGTTTTTTGAGAAATCGGAAATCGCGTAAATTAGTACTTCCTGTCAACGGAAATTACTCAGAATTTGATACATGGTAGAGGATTAGATCTTTTACTTACAAGTGAAATTTCATTAATCTATCTGAAATAATACTCAAGTTATAGGCTTTTGAAAAATTCAAAGTAGACAGACAGACAGACACACACACACAGACACACGGACAAGATCGCAAAATTATGTTTTTCCGTATCAGTGAGGTGTAAAACGTCGAGATTTGTAAAATCTACAAATCTCGATTTTTTTTTGCACGATTACAACACTAATTTCTCTATACTTCGTATATACGAGAAAGTAAATAATTATCATTAAAAAAGTTTTTAAAAACCCACGTTTTCTGATTGAACTAAAAAGTAGAAAATAAATGCTATACATCACAGTAATGCAAGCGATCACTCTACTATAAGCGATCGCAAACTGCGTGCGCATTATGACAAAAAAATGAAAAACGTGGGGCGCCGAAGTAAAAGTTTTTTATCGGTCATTGTTAATATAAGATGTAAAAGTTATATTACTATTGATTAGATAATATTATTGAGTTTTAATAGGGAGCTTGTAGAGAGTCAACAGTATTAAAAACTGTAAGAAAATCACGGCGCCCCACGTTTTTCATTTTTTTTTTCACTTTTCTTTTTGGGTAAACGAAGACAACTCGTAAAAAACACGTGCCTTTTCCAATCGACGTTTCTTCTGTGTTGCCGTTTCTTTCACCATTTTGCCCTCGCGTGCAAACCATTCGACCATCAACATTCTACTTCCTTTGTACACAAACACCGCGTGACCACTACTCAGCCAATCGTGTGCTCGAACCTTCAGTAAGCGAGAAGATGGAAAGTACCGAACCTTGTTTTATCAAATTACAATTACTAGGTTATGTCCCTTTTTTGCACAAATCAATGGGGGTCTAAAATGATGAATAAAATTTTTCCATGGATCAATTTAGTAATAATAATAATTGAACATTGTATTGTCATCGGAAACAAAGCTTCCCTGAAAATTTCAGCGCGCTAGCTAACTGGGAAGTGCCCGAAATTTCGATCGCAAGATTTGATTGGAAAAACACACACATAAACAAATAAACAGACGCGAAAGCAAGTCAAAGAAAACGTGGGAAAAAAAAGGGGTGTTGGGTTGTTAGTAGTAATCTCGACTAGTTAGTTTTATGGTTACAAATTAATTGAAATTAGGGTTAGGCGTATTGTAGAACCAGGGTTGGGGTTGTTAGGAACAGGGTTAGCATTGCTATTAGCCATTTTTTAAATTTATATATAAAAAATTAGATCTAGAAGTCTAGATCTAGATTCTAGAATCGATATTAAAACGGGTGTTTTTTTTTGACTAAAATCTAGACCTAGATTTCTAGGTCTGAACGGAAATACACAATTTTACTTGACCTAATTTTTAATACAAAATGGGAAGATCATTGTATCTAAATCTGGAATGTAGATCAAGATCTACTAGACCTAGAGTTGGAATAATTTTTGGAAAATAATAAAAAAAAAAGTGATGAAACAGTTTATCTTTATCTATTGTCACTATTGTGATCAAAACTGTTGTATTTGTTATAGATTCTAGATCTAGAATCTAAATCTAAATGTACATTTTTCCGCAATGGGCCATGTGATAAACATTTCATTAGTTATTTTACTTATTACTTATTTATTAGTAGATCTCTAGTTAAGTTAGGCGCTAAATTAAATACTAGATCTAGATCTAGATTCTAATCTAGATCTAGTATTACTAGTATTAAGTATTAGATCTACTAGTAGACTCTAAATAGTAATCTAAAAATCTATCGTTTTAGGTATGTAAAATCGCCCGCGACTAGTAATGTGAAAAACAGGTGACTCCTTACATTTTAATAATTAATTATTTCACATTTTTAGGAGGATTTGTAGATCTATGTTTTGAAAAATACAAAAATGTTTCCTTGTTTTATTAATGTACCTGTTTTTAAACAATGGAATTAAAGCTTTTCAGTAATAAATGAAGACTAGCGACTACTAGATCTAGCGATGTTTCCAACAGATGCAACCATGCTCATTTACTATAGTAGCTATCTTGTTTATTTTTTTTATTGTAAACTTATAGCGCAAGATTCAGTGAAGCCACTCTAACTTACAGTTGGTTGCTTTTTATATAGATCTAGATTTAGCAAATCCTGCTCGCAAACACTGATGTTTAAAGTTAATTTCTTGCCTATATATTGATATAGATCTATGTATGTAGCCATTGGTTTAGGTTTATTATTCATTTATCTATAATATTTTACACAACTTTTCGTACATTACTAGCCGCGGGAGATTTTACGTACCTAAAACGATAGATTACCGGCCCTAATGCCTAATTATTAATTAATTAGTAATTAATAGTAATACTAAACTACTAAACTAATGCATAATACTTCTAATAGTACTAGATTCTAGATCTAGTAGTTGTACTAGATCTAGATCTAGAATCTAGTATAAATAATGGGTAATCTAGCACTATCGTTTTAGGCTTTAGGTAGATCTAGGTAAAATCGGCTGAGACTAGATCTAGATCTACTCTACCACTCTAGTAATGTGAAAAGAAGGTGACTCATTAAATTTTAGTAATTATTTTACATTTTAGGAGAATTTATGTTTTGAAAGCTACAAAGAGTTTCATTCATGATGTAGCCCTGGTTTTAAACAATTGATAATATTATTAATATCGATGAACAGACAAGCTGTAAAAAAATACAATAGAAATCTAGATAGATCTAGATCTAGAAATTTTATAATTATATAAATAATTCTCTTCATGGGGTCTTGCTGGACACTACCAAGATGTAAGCGCGTCTAGCAGCCCCCTCTCTTCCTCTCACCGGTCTGGTGAGCTGTGGTTCACGCCAAATAATTAAAATCGTAGTGACGGCTATTAGGGGCAGTTAATTTAGTTCGAAATGATTTTAAACTTAGGGGAGGTAACTAAGAGGAGGCTGCCTCACTGAGGGTGGGGGGAGGGGAAGTGGTGTGGGCAAAGGAGTGGGGTTATTATCTTTAACGAGCTACTGATAGTGTTTTAAAGCAAATATTTTCAGTGGCAGCATTGGTAGTGACGAATTCACAAATTATGAATTACTGAAAAGTAGAAAATATAACAACTAAATAGCAGCGTATGCTACGCCACGGGTCAGCTCGTTGTTATTATTTAGGCCCCTAATAATGTAGACCTAGACTCAGATACTTTTTATATAATATTATATAGCATTATATAGCCTATAGAATACTATGAAAATTATAAAAATAGCCTAGGGCCTATGTATTTTTTTGTATAGTTAGCCTATTACCAGAGTGCCCTATCCTATAGACTAATACTAATGTTATGTTATATATAATGTTATAGGCCTAGCTATCTTGTTTAAATAAGCCTAAGGCATGCCACATTCCTTCCTTCCAATGTCTCTATAATGTTTCTAATAAATTTTAATAACCCATCTAGAAGATATAAAACCAAAAGCAAACAGGTGGATCCCTTATTAAATGATAGGATACCTAGTCTGGTTTTCTAGTTTGATTACTTTTTGGCAGCTTCTGCAACCAATGTTGGTACAAAATGTAATGCTTAGCATTCCTTTGGAATATACTCGACTAAAGTCAAGATGCTTCGGTAACCCATTGATCCTTTCAACTAATGCCTTGGAAGTCAACCTGGAGGAGATTTCACTCTTCTAGACGCATCCACTGTTTCCAGATGTATATTTAAACCTATTGAAAGCACAATGGCATAGAGTATATGATTAGAGCGGATTGCAAGATTCTAGGGGCAAATTAATATACCTGAGCTGTTGTCTTGTCCACCTTCCCTTAGCATGCCACTACTTTACAAAATTTGGTGTCATGTTCCTCTGTTATTCAAAGATTGACTTGGTCTAGTACTGAAAACAAAAAAGCAAGCCGCAAAGAAATGTAAAATACATTTTTTTAGCAAGCAATATCAGTTAAAAAAGTTCAAATGAAATAAAAAGCACTTATCTTTCTTTTCAGAATGTGATGCTAATATGGAAAAAGAACACAAAGATCTATTAAGGCGGAATTTCATGCAACTTGCAGAAGACATGAAAAATGGAATAACATTTATTTGTAAAGACTTGAAAAATCAGAAAATCATTGCCCCACACATGGAGGAAAGAATTATAGAGGTAATCTGGGTCATTAATAAGTTTACGTTTAGCTAAGGCTTGGATTCATTTTTTTCTTTGATGGGGCAAAGTTGTTTTTAAAGAACATTTTAAAACCCACTCTTGTAGCCTAATGTATTTTGAAAGAATTAGCTTAATTTTTAAGAATATGCTTCTTGTTTGAGCAGGAAGAATTGACTCATAATTCAATGATGTTGTGTAAATTGTTTTACATCTTAACTATCACCCTATATCGTGTGTGTATCCGCCCATTATTATTTTTAAATATCTGTCCCTGGCGATTTTAACCTCCCTTGTTATCAGACCCTATCATTTACCTAAAATGTTATTACAAAGTTCCCATCCCTCAATAAACGCAGCTTGAATGAAAACTAATATTTTGTTTTAACAGTTTTGTTATTAAGGAAAAAAAGACCGCTATGTCATATTTCCTGAGCTTATTAATATTATATTAATTTTTGAACAATTTTAATCTAATGTAATTGGTTTTCCTTTACAAAATCTGGATAATAATGAGCTTTTCTGATTGTTTAATACCCTCATTGTTTGGACATGAATTACTAATTTCCCTGGTCAGTGTTGCAGTGGGGGGAAAATAAACTAAACAAATTAACATTTGAAAAAATTTCTATAAAATTTTATCACAACAGAATCCAACTACAAACAGAGAAAAGGCAATGCTTTTACTAGAACTTCTTCCCAGCAGAGGACCCCATGCCTTTGATGCTTTATATAATGCTGCTGTACGTTATGAATTAATTGAAACTGCAAACATTTTAAAACCTAAGCAACACTTTCAACAACCAGCTACATTGCCTGTACAACAAGCAGTACCCCTAGATGAGGATGAGCTCCCTGATAGTGAGTTTATTTTGGAATAATTAAAGTATTTGTTGTTTTAATCAGTTAGTTGATGACAAAAACTTTATCATCTCAAGCATGGCCGTCAGAGCAAGATCTGAATAAACATGATGTACGGCTAATTGAAGCTAGTGATCATCATTTGATATCCCAGCACAAAAACTCCTTAACACCCAGGGGGCAGGTGAGTGCCGTTGTAAACTAGCTAGCATTTTCAACAGAATAAGAAATTCAACTAGTTTGTTTATCTCAATAGAATAAGAAATTAAAGTAGAATAGGAAATTCTACTTGATCGCACATCTCAGTAGAATAGGAAATAGTAAACGTAAGGTAGAAGATAGGTAGCTTGAGTGATTAATCTTGTTCACCATTATAGTGTTACATTTTTAAAAATCATATAGATTAATAATTTAGAGTGTGTGTTACACAAGTCGACTCTTTCATATTATCCAATGTTAAAAAATTTGCCAAATGTAGCATTAACAAATATTTCAAAGTAAAAACTTAAACATATGCTCTCTAAAACAATACTGTACCAGGGTGGTCGTATGGGTGTTAGATCCAGTTAGCTGTGTCAGAGGTCAGTGCTGATAAAGTGGTTGAGTACCAGTAATTCTTGTGTACAGTGTATAACTATCTTCTTGGACTGAAAGACATACAGGATATCACATGAAAGGATTGACATAGGCTCTTCAGTGGTTTACAGGCTCTTCATTGGTTTACATGATTTGTTTGGCAAAGATAATGAGACAAGGCTTGATTACTCTTTCACAACACAGATCAAGACTCCTTTTAATATGATGGCAAAACCATGACAGTTTCTGCTGGAGCTAACTTAACTTATAGACACTCAACAATGACCCTACATAGTTGTTCTGTTATGTATTCTTCAAACACAAAAATCTCTTGTAACACTAATAGTCTCACTCCCAAACACACTATTTTTACTCCACAACAAAGAACAAAGATAGCATAACTCTGTGCCTAATAGACATAATTTTGCTGTATCCTTCAGACCCACTTCTACACGATGAAATGTAAAACCAGAGGCTTAGTTTTAGTGATTAATAATGAAAATTTTGACAAACTTGAGGATCGAGAGGGAACACTAGCAGATAGAAGAAGCATTGAGACAGTCTTTAGGAAACTTGGTTTTGAGGTTGAAGTACATGGTAATAAAAAGTGTGAGGTGGGTAATTTCCTAAGTAGGCTTACACTTTAGGAGTTAAAACTGGACATTCTGTCTCTTTAATTTTTTCTTGTAAAGTGTGTAATCACAAACTCTAGGGTTTCGAACTTATATATATATATATATATATATATATATATATATATATATATATATATATATATATATATATATATATATATATATATATATATATAAAATTACAATTATTTATATATATCATAGAACAAATGCTATTCATTTGTACTCAAACAATGAAGGAAACATAAATAGGGGTCATGAACCTGATGTGGTCATATGATTTTGTATAACACTACATTAGCTAGCTGCACACAATTTTTTAAATAGCTAAAATGACAAAATAATGACGGGGTCGTATTAAGGGGACAAAATGTTGCACAATGATACCAAATTTATATTTATAGGATAAATGGTTCTCTAGATATGACGGTTTTAGTGTAAAAATTGCGGGGACAACTAAGCCTATGGAAAATAAAAACAAAAATTGGTCAATCGAGAGTATAGAAAAAAGGCGAAAGGGAAATAACTCTGCGTAGGCGGACAATTAAAAAATTTTCAAACAAGTATTTGTAATGCATTTACAACTGCATAGAGTATCTCTACCAAGATATTAATAAATTATTTAATTTAAAAGTGGTCTATTAAAAATTATTTAAATAAAAATAGACCACTGGCTAGATTAAATCATTTAACTCAAACGTCTTAGTAATAGTAAAAATAAAAGAAACTGGCTGAGTAAAAAAAAATAAACATTCCTAATTCCTAGGTAAACGGTATCATAGAGACAGATCAGTACAGTGCAACATCATCATCACTCCTTTGTGGCCCCTGGGGAGCAAAGGGCTGCAACCACACATCTCCAGCGGACTCGGTTTTGAGCGGCTCCCTTAATCTGTGCCCATGAGAGCCCAGCTGTTTTTACCTCTTCCTTAACCGTTCTCTTCCATGTTTTCCTTGGCCGGCCCACCCTCCTTTTCCCCTGGGGATTCCAGTCCAATGCATGTTTTGTGATGTTTTCTTTTTCTTTTCTTAACGTGTGTCCGATCCATCCCCATTTACGGGCCTTAATATCTTTCTCTATTGGCACAGTGCAACATATATGAGTGTTTTTGACTTAATGGAAGCATGTCAGTTAAGAGATAATCTTTGGGTGACGTTAGATAACTGAACATAGCTGGCACGAAACAAACATCAACGTTATCAAGAATCTAGCATTTCACAGAGCTACGTAGGCAGACGCTAGACACAAGCGTTTATGTACGACTTATGCCATCCAGTTTTAAATACGACATCTTGCCACCTGGTTTTGAACGTGAGGGACAGCTTAGTCGTGGGATGACCTACGGTCACCAGGCCGGGTACCGATCTATCAGTTTAGTTAGCGGGCCTACTACATACTAGACCAGACTGTCCAGTTGTGATAACATTTTACAAAAGATTGGGGATACGGGGTCTGGAAAATCTTCTGGCAAAAATAGGATAAGTTATGGATGGGGGAGGGGAATGTGTGTAGAAAATAGTGACTTTATTTGTGGACAGGGCAGATTCAATCCCGTACCATGTTTAGAAAAGAAAAAGGTACCTCAGGACTACTAGCAAACTTATCAACCATACTTTACATACTTTCAAATTCATTTTAGATGTAGTATTCGAAAAAATTGAACCTAGTGTCATGAAATTTAGTTTTAAATCATTCTATTTGTAACTTAACTTCAACTTTGTATTGAGTTATCGTATGCCTAATTCAATCAATGGTAGCACGCAATACAGACCACAACATATTAGCTTAATTCATACAATTTTTACTATTTTAAAAAGGTTAATTTATTATCTTGGACTCCACTTACTTACTAGTGTAATTATTAAACTTCTTTAATGAAAAATGTATTAAAATTGGTGACATAATTCCTATAAAACGTAGGAACATGAAAATGCGGTATCGATACTGCTAATAGGGTACTTAGTTTGTGAGACATTTTGCATAGTCTGCTAAACGGATAAAACTAAAATAAATATGCCAGTTAGAAAGTTTAATAAAAAACGAAGATAATCCCACTAAAAACAGAGTTAGTCTCAATGTTTTACTATTTTAATTGAATTTTTGAAAACTCACCTTTTAAACTCAATATGAAATTAACAAAAACAAGTAAAATGTTGAAATAAAAATTATACGGCAGTAACGGTCAATAAACGCTGCTAATAAAAAGGGCATGTATAATTGGAATCATAATCGCGTTCTATCATTTTTTAAACGGTTAACATAGCAATGCGAACGACTACATTTGAATTAGATTTTGTTGGGCACGAAAGGTTTAGAGCCTGTGACGTCATATCTTATTTACATGTGCAACTAGCTACACTACATACAACTTAAAAAATTATTTTATAAATTTTTCATTAAATATTTACATGTTTTATACACTCTAAATGGTTAATATAAAAAAAAATTAACAATAAAACAAGTGCTCATGATATGTACATATATCTTTTTATACTATTAAAACTTTTTCAAAAAAGAAACTCTTATCTTATTAAAATTTTTGCTTTCAACATACATATATATTTAAAGAAATCAAAATTACATTGCTAAGTAGACTATAAAAATTATGTTTTTGAACTATCATTTTGTAAGTAAGTTTGTATAGGACTAATTAGTTTTAGTGGATTTTCACATCAAGGGTCAAGGGAGGATTTAAACTTTATGGTCGGCACAAATAGATGACCCCTTATTTTACAATAAGCACTTCTAATTGCAAAGTAGGACTAATGTTTTAAATTTCTTTTATGAACAGTGATTCATTTAAAATACAAATAAATGCAAATTATTTTCTGATTTGCAATGTAATATTAACTATGTATTTCAGGAAATGACTGATGTGCTACAGGAGGCAGCCCGTCGAGATTACAGTTCTTTAGATTGTTTTATTCTTTTTATATTAACTCACGGGGAGGATGGAGTTGTTTTTGGGGTAGATGGTTATGTTAAAGATGATAAGCCTATAAATGCAGTTCCGATAAAGGATATTAGAAATTGGTTCCGTGGCTCCATGTCACTTCGAGGAAAGCCAAAAATATTTTTTATTCAAGCTTGTCGAGGAAGTAAGTTGTTTCTTCAACATATGGTACCTATATTATAGTTCCTACATTTCTTATATCTCTCTGTCATTCTGGAATGTTGTGCAGAGGTAAAACATAATTCAATCTTTCACTGCTACTACCAGCTTTTGATGCTATTACTTTTAACACCAATTAAAATATAACTTTGTACGATAATACCCTCAGTTCTCAGAAATAACTTATATAATGATTACACAGCAAGAGTTAATGATATTTTATCATAGTTAAATCAAATGGTTTAACAAACACCATTTCAAATAGGTTCTTTGATTTTGAAATTTCCTAAATTTTCAATAATGTCATATTGCATTAAAGTTTTAACATTCTGTAATTGTAAGAAATAATTTAAACTAAAGATAGTATGCCATTAAATAACAAAAAAGATAATGAACATTAAAACACCACAAAAACATTAACATTAATAATGGTATTGATAACAAAGCATGGATACACAGATTTCAGTGTAACCAGCAATTTTGATTTTTTTTTAGGGAGGAAGGTTTATAAACTAAATATATATAAATACATATATATAAATGTATTCCACAATTTTTTGAAGATTTTTGTTTTCATTTAATTTAACAGTGATTCATTTTCTTACTGCTTGCTTAAAGATTTTGATGGTTGTAGCAGCTTTACGATGTATGGAGAAATAATATGGTTCGGTCATTTAATATAAAAAAATCAGATCTATGGAAAGGTATTAAAAGTTTTAAAAGTTAAGCAAACATTACATCTTTTATTCCGTAGATGACACAATAATGATTTGAGGTGTAAGCAATACAATTTAAATTCAAATGGCACTATTCAGTAAGAAAAAATCCAATAAGCAATGTTAGCAGTCAAATACATGTAGGCCTATATTGTGTATAGATCATTACAAAAAGTGTAACATAATTTATTTTGTATTTATTAGGAATCAAAATGTTAAAAACAAGTTTGTTAGATTTCTTCTTCATTTTTACGAGGCAGGGTTTGTGAGGGGGGAGTTTGGAACATTGTGACATCATTTTAATGGAGAGACTGTCATGCTTTTTGGACTACTCTATACATTTTTATTTAGATATTACTTTAGATATTACTTTTTGTTTTGGATAATGTATCAGAGTTGAGGATTCACCTTTAGTTTTATGTTAGAGGATTTCTAAGGTTTGGTTCATATTAAGGTTTAGGATTATGGTTGGAATTAGTTCAGTGAGAATTATAGGTTACAAGCAGGTGTGTAATTAAGGATCTGATTCTGCTTAAATGTTTTTACTTACTTGCTGTTAAATAGCAGATAATGAACTTCTTAAACCAGGTCAATATTTTGTAATAGTTCAAACAACTGTTCAAAATAAAATATTTCCTATAAATTAATTTTGTTTTAGAGTAAAAAAATTAACCAATAAAAATTATCGAAAAATTTTCTGACATTGAATATATCATTACTTTTAAGCATTACCTCGAAGCCTGTTTTTAAGTTTCAAAGGCTTCTTAAGTGTTTCATATCAATAAGTATTAGGAGCATATTTGTATTATAATTTAAAATAGAATTTCATATTTATGATGCACTTTTATCTTTTAACTCATCCATTAACTTGTTTGAATAAATTCTAGAAACACCAGATGCAGGTGTATCACTTAGTAGTGCAGAGAGTGACCGCAACCTAGCGAAAGACACAATTGAAAGCTTCAAGCCCCAAAATGCTGCGGATGCTAGTGGAGGAAAAATAGCTTCAGATGCAGATTTTTTCATCGCCATGGCAACAACAGCAGGTGATATATAGCATTAACCTAAAGCTTTCTATATATTTAATCTAGTCCTAAATCAGCTTTTACAATAATGCAAATAATGCAAACACAGTAATTAGTGTTTATCTGTGATTATTATATTTTTTTCAAGTTCACATTGAAATAATGTCATTCAAGTCAGCTTCTTTATTTATTCTAAACTTAGATTACAATTTAGTTCTAATATAATAGTTAAAATTGGAATGCAAGTACTTCCCTTATGTTTTAAAATGAGAACCATTGAGAGTTTTAGACAAGGTAATAATAATAAAACTATGATTTTTAGGCAATCTGTCATGGAGGAATAAAAAATTTGGAACTTGGTTTGTACAAGCTGTGGTTTACATATTCGCCAAATACGCTTACAAGAATGATCTAAATAAGCTGATGACACAGGTATGTCTTTAATTTTTTTTTTATATAACTATTTAACTATAAGTTTTAAATGAACTACTACCTTTTAAATTACTCTGAACTGTGACAACTTCACATCAGTTGGGTGGGATCCAGGGTCACAATGTGCAAGGTCAGATAGTAGCTAGACAGAAACAATATGATTGAAGAAAGTACAATAAAAAACTTGTCATCAACAGGTGAATAATCTAGTGGGAAGAGCTGAAACATTGAAAGGACAATATAAACAAGTGGCTGAGAAAACAGACACGTTCCTAAAGACTTGTTACTTTTTTCCTGGGTTATACCTAGACAAAACATAAACCTAACTCGAAAGAATTTGAATTGTAAACCTATGAATTTTTTCAACAAAGATTTCATATGTGCCTGTGTGTTTTAAGAAATCTCTAATTACAATAGCTGATTATTACCTGGGTAATGTACTTCATCTCATCTAGAAGAGTAGAGCTCAGGTAATTTGTTTTATACCTCAAAAGGATTATGTGACAAAGTGAACTGGGCAAATGCCAACTGTACTATGAATAACTGGGCTGTTTCAAATGGAGGTTTTATAGGATTTTTTGTAGAATTATAGTGATGGGGGTATGGGTAACTTAAAATTACCTTCCTTTATGATTAGGATTGATGTGGTTTTATAGCTTAATGCATAAATAATGTTTGTTCTACTTTTGAAATTAGCTTAGCTTTTGGGGTAAAAAGAAGGATGATGATGAAACTAATGAGCCTAGTCCTAAAAAAAAAATTAAATTTTTTTATTACCTTTAAAAATTAATTTATTTGAACAAAAAAGTGTATCTGACATTAATAATAAAACAGGGTTTCTCCAAATTAACTCCCAGTTGATCAACCTCCAGTTGGCATTCGCCTGCTTATGATGTGCTATTTGCGGTTAAATCTCATAAAAATAAGGGCATAGCAAGGCAAACACGGATCCACTATCAGCTATTTATGATGTGGTCAGTCAGGGGCTAATTAACAATTGCTTGTACAACTTGCAGTAGCAGGAGTAGTTGGTAAATTTTGCCCACATTCATTGGTAGCAGTGACAGCTTTGGTAGTGTAATAAATAACTCTGCATCTCTTTCATTGTATATATATATATATATATATATATATATATATATATATATATATATATATATATATATATATATATATATATATATATATATATATATATATATATATATATATATATATATAAAATTAAATGTTTGCGTAACAACTTACATTTTATTTTAATTAAATAAAACAGTTTATTAAACTGCTTTATGTGAATAATTTGTAGTAGACTACAATACAAATAATGCAAGGTTTCAGTTGTACTTATGATTTATTTTCAAGTGCTAGAAGTTAATGTAGGTCAGCTTGCTTGTGAAACACCAAGTTAATTTACATTAATCTGGTACTTCCAAAATGAGTTAGTTTGACTAGGACTTCAGACAGTCCGATTAGGAAAAAAAAATCTCCATGTTACTTGTTCAGCAGCCACTGCCCCTGTTTAGCTAGTTTCAGGAAAAGGGTGCATTTAATAAGAGACCGTCCATAAGTGATATCATTTTTTGGGACAATTATACCCCTCCAATAGTTTCAAATGTTTATAAAAATATCATACCCAAAACAAAAGGTCACACTTCAGTTTATCCCCTTCCATATTACAATTTTAAATATTTAATAAACTATTTTTTTTTTAAGCTAAGACAACATTTTGATACTTTTTATTTTAAAAATATAAAATAACTGCAAAAATTCAGTTCAAAAGTTTTTTCAAGTGCAAACTTTTGCCCCCCCCCCCCCCTCTATGAATGGAATGTGATATCATTTATTGACAATCCCTACAAATTTATAAAATTTATATTAAATTTATGTCATAATTTTACACTGCCAGCGCCAGCTTCTAACATTAATTTTTGTATATTAGGATATAATCTTATGTGTAGTGTAGTCCTATAGATCTGCAATAGGTAGGCTTATACTATCTTCTGTATACCCCAATATATAAATACATATATAGGCCTGCATAAACACACACATATATATATATATATATATATATATATATATATATATATATATATATACACGCATGTAATATATATACATGTATGTATGTATATATAAATATAAGCCTATAGTTAGTTTTAATTTATTTGTATGTTATTTAGCTTTTTTAATCTTAATTATTTAATTCATCTTTTAGCCTTTTCTAATAGACTGTCAATACTGCCTATGTAAATTTGCCATTGCTTATTCGTTTTATGTAGTCTACTCTGTATCTATCACAGGGAAAAATATGCTAATGTTTCACACATTTACTTTAAAATATTTACAAATTCCCTTCAGTAAAAAAACCCAATACAAATAATCTTGTTGTTTGGTTATTATTTGTAAAAGCGTTCTGTGTTTCAGTTGTTTTTATTTATCCGTTTGGAGAATATTGGAGTGGGTAATGCCTGCCTTCAAGAATGTTTCTAGATAAATATTTCTTACCTTTAATTTAAAAAAAAACAAAACGTAATACCTTATAAGTGGATGGCAGATCGACAGCTGAGTGCAACTCATGTGATTAGCATTGATCACCTGACATTAAATACCTGCGATTGGCTTTTTTTCTGGAGAGGGAGGGTTGCTTCATTTTCTAAGAAATACTAGTTCCACAGAATAATTTGGGTAATAAAACTGTATATTTGGTAAATGGCAGTGGTTATTTGATAAAAAATTCCAAGAAAATTCGAAGGCTCCGCGGTTTATAGTTTTGAAATTGGCTCATGTATAATTTTGATACGGTTCGAAAACTGGCTGTTTGCCTTCGAGTCTAAATGGTTTCATATTGTGTCCGATCCATCAGTTGAAGCAGAAACACCCCGTTGAGCATCAGGTTGAGGCAATTTTTCTCATCCTTGTAGTATGAGGTGTTATATATTTAGTCATTTCCATCATCTAACGAGCTTAGAAACAAATAAAATACGGGTGTGTCCCACACTATGTAATGTCATCGTCGTTTCTTCTAAAATTCTCACAAAACACCATTTTAAATAACATTTTCTGTAAATTTCTAGAACAGCTGTCAGGTATTAGATTTAGGAGTCGTGGGTTGTGGATTATACAGCGTTTATATAACGAAGATTTGTATTCATAAATAAATCAATGACGTAGAAAAGACGGCATAAAAATAAACCTTAGATCAGCAACCACCAATGTTTTATATTTATTAAACGCTGATTCATTTATGATTGATTTTTTTTTTTAAAGTACTCTACATTTCGAAAGGCGTATATATTAAGGTCACAACCAAACTTGGCAAGCTCTGCTGGTGGTCGGCACTCCCACCAGACTGTTTTTAGAAATGATATCACTTGACAGTGGAGTAGCTAGGATTTGGGAGCACTTATGCAAAAATTATCGGTGGGCCCCTTCGTCAGCCGTTAGGCTACAACTACAACTGAAGAAATCGACTACTACTTAAGAGCGAGGGTTTACAATAGTATAATTTGTATATTTTATATTTTATACGCCCTTATTGTACATTTATAATGTACGAGCCGACCCGCGGCATATCATACGCCGCTATTTAGTTGTTTTATTTTCTACTTTTCAGTAATTCATAATTTGTGAATTCGACCAATTCTGCCACTGAAAATATTTGCTTTAAAATACTATCATTTTGTCCTTTTGTTCCCAAAACACACGAAGCCGCCACAGAAGGCTCCCTCCGGCAATTTTCCTTGCACTCCCCCATGACAGTCCTGCCTCGGTCAGCTGCTTCCTGGCAGTCCCCCATGAAAGTCCTGCCTCTATCAGCTGCTTCCCAGCCGTGCGCCTCCACGTCTCCTTGGCCACCCTTTTTCCCTGAGGCGTCCAGTTTAGCGCTACACCATATAAGTATAAGCTGGATTCATTCTTAAGACTTGCACTATCCAGCACCATGTTTTTTTTTCGATTCTTTTGGAAATAATTATCAGTGGGGCCCTTTTTGTCAGCCGTTAGGTTACAACGGAATCTCAAATCCGTTCTATGTAAATAAACAACTGTAAGCCTATTAAGTCGCCAAACATAGTAACGTTATAAGGGGGTGCGGACCGCATCGGGTGACTCCATTTAGGTAGGGAACAATCGTACATTTACTGACAAAACTATGTTTAATCTAGTTTAAATAGTAGAATAGAAGGGGGAGAGAAGTGACACAAAAACCGAAAATTGTTCGAGGAGTAAACGCACCCTTGACCGAGTACGCCACTAACCAAACACAATTTTTAAAAAAAAATTGCCTGGTTTATTTAGATTTGTTTTTTTTCCTTTGCTTTTAAGTCTGCAAAATGATTAAAAAATTCCTTGAGGTCCATTTTAGCTGCATTTGAATGTTCGATACTTAGGATAGCCAAGATACTGACATAAATAGCAAATCAACTATTTGTTTCATAACATTATCATAATGTATGAAACCGAGTGTTCGTTAATCACTCTCCTTAACAGTGAGGTAGAACACTGTCTGGGGTGTCGCGGGTGCTCTCCGAAGCCACCGGTTACATTACCGCAGGGGCGCAGGGTGCGACCCCTGGTTCGGTTTAGTAATTAAATAAAGCCCACATTGTCCCTAATGTATAGTGTTCTTTAAAATGAACATATAAGCTGTCGTGTTCACAGAGGAGCCCGGGGCGCCCCGGTTTAGCCAGAGGCCGCCCATGTTTGACAGTTGAATCAAGTTGTACCCCTGACCACTGTGAAAGACGCTCAATCAACGGACCCTGTTTAGCTTTTGGAAGACTCAGGGCGCCCAATCGTGCTCTATTATACAGGGATGCCGGTATACGGTGCTCTTTATAACGAATATAATGCCGTAGTGCTCAAAATGTCGCCCGACCGCCACGGAGCTAGAGACCACTCCTGTTTGAAGTTGCACTGATAAATCATGTTGTACCCCTGACCATGCAAGACGCGTAATGCACGGACCCCATGAACTCCGGTAGCCATTGGGAAACTCGGGGCGCCCAACCGTATACTATGGCCGTGGTGCCAATTTCATTCACCGTATCCCTAGTATCCCTCATTAAAGCGTATGTAGGCGCCATAGTGATCATTGGGGAGTCCGGAGTGTACTGGGTCTCACGACCGCTGGGGCGCTAACTGATGCGCCGGGTACAGTGTGACCGCTGTATCAAGTCGTGCTTCTGACCCGCTGAGCAGGACGTCCAATCAACTGACACTAGGTGGTAAGGTAGCCGCTGGGAAACTCGGGCCTCTCAATCGTACTCTTCTGCTGGGCGCCGCCCTTCGAAATAATAAAAAATAATAATGGCAGAAACCTCCTCAGGAGTCACATTTCCTTTCTGGCATATCTTCAGGATGGGCGGGGGTGGTGTGGGGAGGGGGAGGGGGTGGCACTTCTCTCTTTTTGTGTGGGTGGGGTAGGAAATTTTCAGGTCAGTTGAGGTTTGTAATCATGCATGTGCGTCTCCGGGTGCCGGATCCCACAAAAGAGTCAAAGTCCAAGTTACAGTTTAACATAACATGACGTTACGGTAATTACACAAAAGCGTGTG